AACAAGCTGTAAAGTTATAGTCTTCATACTATAATCAGCAGTCTCTGGGAACTCTAGAAGAGGTGAATTCCCCGTTTGACACTACTATCAACAATTGACCAATTCAATAATCTGCTTGCCTCAAAGATTCCTAATAACAAGCTTGTATTTCCTATTACTAATCACGAAAAAGTAGAAGATGCAATGAAACTAATTAGCGAAAATTTTACATACATTAATATCCCAACATATATCTTCAACTTTCCAGATCTCCCTAAACCAACTTGGAACATTTTCGCCACACCAACAAACAACATCAAATACACTGATGAAGACATGGAAATAACTTATAATTCAAATAACAATAAACAATAAAACTATAGCTGAAAACTCCAACTCATATCTAATCTCTACTAACAATTTACTACCAATAAGCTACTAACAAAACATGCACCAAACAACTAATACACCTCATCAAAATACAATAACAGATAATATTCAAAACATCAAAGAAAAAATTAACTTTGCAACTCACAATATCAGAGAATTCAATAACCAAATCAAACGCCAACAATAGATCACATATTGCTTGCAAAATAACCTCCATATTATCTCTATTACTGAAATGAAACTAAAAGAATCCTCTTAACCATCATTAACTAACCCTATCTATAAAATCTTTACCTCTAATTATACTCTAGTCTTGAATTAACAGTGAAACTCAAGCCTTAGAACAGCGTTAATGATATATAATATAGTACAATCATATATACACAATATTATCACCTTCTCAGGTACAGCTCTCTGTTTAGATTTCTTCTTTCCAAACAACAAAACTTGTATAATCTCAGTATACCTTCTATCAAACAACCCCGACCTATTAAACTGAACTCAAACTTAAATAGCACTTTGGTCTATAGAGGCAAAAATAAAAACTGGCATATGATTATACTAGGCGATTTTAACTCAAATAATTTCACTAAAAAAAGGATGAAGAATATAATTTTCACAGATCTCTCAACAAACAACTTCACTAGTCTGCTCAACTTCCACAATATTTCAACTTCTACCTGGCACCAAAATGACTCTCATTTTCAAATAGATAATATATGGGTCTTACCTGATATTTTATTAGATATTAAAACTCCAACTCTTACTAAAGCTACAGGAATCACTGAAATTGATCATATAATCATGTCAATGATCTGAAATACAAACTTCACACCATCAAGAATAAGAAACAAAAAGAGAAAATGGAAAATATATCTGTATGACAAGATGACAAAGGAAAACTGGGAAGAATTCTCTAACAAAGTTCACCAGATACTAATACTATTATTAAAGACAAAACTATCTCTGACATCAAATCACTAAACAACTATTGGAATATATGGTCTTCTAATATCACTAAAGTTGCTAATCAACTGATTCCAATTATATATACCACACCTAAACAATACTTCATACTTTCTTTAAAAGCATCAAAACTCCACTCTGCCTTAAAGCATATTAACAAGTGTTATCATATTCTAACTTCTAGTCTACCTTCTCTCTCTACAGAATTTCTTTGTACTACTCTAAATAAATACCTTGTTAAAGCAACCTCCTTAGCAGAAATTTCAGACTTAACTCTAAACCAATAATCACTAGGCTCTAAAATTATAGATGATACACAATACTCCTCCTATCACTATACAATAACAACAATCAAAAATCTTAAAAATACAATCTGGAAAAGTAGAAATGTAGAAAAGAATCTTGAGCAATCTGAGCGAATCAAATACTATGTATACTGCAGATATACAGACTTCAAAGATAATATAAGCCAAATGATCAATAGTATACTAAAACAACAAAAAGACCGAATAAGTTTTGAAAAGATAATAACTTATGACTCAGTAATTACAGAACCTCAACAAATCAAAGAAGCAACACATACTCACTTCGAAAACTGGACAAAACCAAATCCCACAAATGATACTCTCTGGGAAGAATAGGAGAGTATTATACTCCTATAAAGAAAATTAATGCTAGTGTATACGATCTACTAATCCAAACTATTACCATAGAAGAACTTCTCACTACAATAAGGAATGCACTAAAACACAAAGTAACTAGACCCCTAATGATTTCTAATAAAATGCTTCAACACCTTCCTTCATTAGTACTCACACATCTTCTCAAGATATTTAATATATGCCTTTTACTCGAACAATTCCCCAAATAATAGCTAAATTCAAACATATGGCCTATTCCAAAAAAAACACAATATACTTTCGAGCTAAATACAACAAGACCTATCACACTAATTAATCATACCAGGAAAATATTTACTAAAATTATCACTAATAGGCTATCAAATATTCTTGACAGATACAATATCCTCTCTCCACTAAATTATGCAGTATTCCCACGACAATTGACTCTTCAACCAATATCTTAACTTACATTCATAATTGAACATGCTCATACAAAACAGGAAGAAGTTTGGTGCTTACTGCAGGATATATCAAAGGCATTTGACTCAATTCATATACCCACACTCATCAAAGCCTTACACAGAATCCAAATTCCTAAATCTACAGTTAATCTCCAAACATTCTTACTCTCTAATCGTACTAATCAAATAATCACAGACTTTGAACTGATGAAACCATACCTAGTACATTATGGAATTGATCAAGAGGAAACTTTTTCTCCACTTTTATAGAAGATTTATTATGACCCACTAATATCTTGTATACACAATGAACATTTAGAATACCAAGAAACAATCCTATCAATACCTACAACAAAACTGATACATACCTCAATTATGGCATATATGGATGACTCACTCTGGGTAGCATACTTAAAGGATTCTCTTCAGAAAATCCTCTTGATAGCAAATTCTTTCTATAAATTCGCTAGAATCAAAGTCAATCTATCAAAATCAATACTTGCTACAAACTCTATTTCAGACAACAAAGATATTATCTTTAATAAAGAAAATATAAGTGCGATTGACAAATTCAAACTATTTAAATATTTGGAAGCTTAGTTTTCCTTCACTTCTAACCCAACAAACAACTAAAAAATGATAATCTCTGAAGCTAATTCCTGCATTACCAAATTATAAAAATCTCATATTACTGAGAAACAAGCAATATATATCATCAATAATATTATAATACCTCGGATCTCATATCAACTTAACAGTTCTTTTCTTTCTACCTCACAACTAGCCATACTTAATCGCTTAAACACAAATATAGTAAAACAAAAAGCAAGACTATTACGTAGCCTCCCCAACTCTTTTCTTCACTATCCAAAGATTTACGCATTGAAAGATATAATACAAGTTCAAGTATCATACCTATCTATTACACTCTTACAGAATCTAAATCACCCAAACTTTGATTCATCATTTCTTAAAATTTGATTACAACAACTACAAGACTTTACTACATCAAACCTTTTGATACTTACATACCTTCTACTATTACTAAAAAAACAAAAAGATACCCAATCAATCCTTGTGATTCACTCTCTACACATTCAGTTTCTAAGGAATGAGGAAATAAACTGGCTAATTCTTCTTAAAACCAAAGGCACATCTATTAATGAAATATTAACAAACCACTCTTAGGCACATATATTGAAACAACAGCTGAATAAGCACTCTATATATTATATTGAACAGTTTCTCAACTATAATAATTCAGAACTCCTTAATTGGCAAGAATTTCACCACAATATACTCAAGATACTGAGAGGACAAATA